CCACCACCACCGCCACCACCGCCACCACCGCCAGCACCACCATCATGAGAATTGCGCAATAATAAAATAATAATAATGATAACTCACCATCGGCTGGTTGCTGAAAGTTGACATATGCGTAGCCGAGCGAGCGGCGGGTAATCATGTCGCGGCATACGCGGATCGACAGCACAGGTCCAGCCGTCGAGAACTTCTCGAACAGCATCGCCTCGGTGATGTCGGTGTGCAGATTGCCCACGTAGAGCGAAGCCATGGGATAGTTGGGTGCTCCAGGATTCATGGCGGCAGCGGCGGCGGATCAGCACTGAGAAAAGAGAAAGAAAACGGGACGGCGTTGTTGAGCGTCGCGCGCTGGTCGCGACGCTTTAATATATATCGTTTGGCTTCTTCCTTCTCTACCGTCGCGCGGGATGGCTCTTTACCCTCCTCCGGCGCACCTGCCCGTGTCACGACGTTCGCGTGTCCTCTCGCACACGTTTTCCTCTTCTTCACCTCTCCCGCTTCCACTACGTGCGTGCGTGCGTGGGTACTTTTTTTTGCGTGCCTGTGAGTAGATGGAATTCCTCCGTCTGTTTCTGCCTGCGAACGTACGTCTGCTTGCGAACACACTCTTGGCTCCGGGCTCGGTGTATTTTACTTCCCTTTCTATTCCTTTGTCATCGAGGACACGACGATTTTCGCTTGTGGTTTTGCGATTTTTTTAAATGCGTTTTTTCACAATTTTTTTGCTTTTTTTGGGGTTTTCTAGGAGAGTTAGTTTCACGAAATGGACATTAGGTTATGTGGCCTACTTCTGGGGAAAAGGAAACCGACACAACAAACGCGCAACGCGACACAACTCTACCTTTACTGAGGCAAAAAAGCGACGTATGGCGTTCTTGCACGCATTTATATATCCGATGAGCCGCGCAACGATCGCCTACTCCTCCGCAAAGTAGTTCCCTCTTCTGTCAAAGTGAGAAACGTTTCCTCATGTTTCTATTGGTTCATCCAGAACACTTTTTTATTGGTTAGTCCAATGGAAAAACTCCAATAGCGTTTTTTATTCTCTGTTGGGAAAACTATAGTACAATACTTGAATGCATTTAAATACAAACCAATTTATTTATCTTCAATATGTTAATAAATAATAATATAACTCTTTTTCAATTACATTAATTTACTAATTATTACTTTTAATATTAAATACATATTCTTTGTTATCACGATAATCTCATAACGTTAAAGAGCTTAAATTATTAATTAACACTGAAAATATATAACTTGATTTGCATTCAAGTGCACCAGTGTTGCACTAAATTTTCCAATGAAAATGCTACAAGTTTTAGTCACAATCACATAATAAAGATCTGTTCGCATTAAGCCAAGACACAATAGGTGCATCCAGAAGCACGACCGCTCATTAAGCGCTCAATGAGCTTTTTTATCTGATTGGCATATTCTATTAGATCTAAATATATAAACCAAACAGGTACAAGAGCTCACTGAGCGCCAGTCGGTTTCCTTTTCCTTGTCGGTTCCCTTTCCGTCGGTTTCCTTTTCCTCAGTTGAGTGAGCGCTCGCTATTATTGGTGTATTCTTTTAGATCATCCAATCAGAATTTTTAATCCAGAAGAATGCACTAATAATAGCGAGCGCTCACTCAACTGTTGAGTCCGCTGAACGCGCCCAATGAGTGGTCGTGCTTCTGAATGCACCCAATGCGAGGGAATAGCGATAGCGATAAGTTTCAACCTATCAAAAACGTGTGTATTCCGGTGTATTCGATTTCTGATAAGTTGAAACTTATCACTATGGCGAGAAACACATACTTTTGCATAACGCATAGAGCATGTGCATAAGGAATTTCATTGGCCCATTTTCTTATGCATGAGTCAATGGACCAATCAAATTCTTTATATATATGGTTTATGCGTTATGCAAAAGTGTGTGCTGCGGCCTTATAGCTTCATATGCTTTAACACGCTTTAATATGCTCTTAGGGCGATATTCATAGTCGGTTCTTATTTCAAGACTGTCTTAAGTAATGTCTTAAAAGATGCTAAAGCGACTCTCTGGCCGGTATTCATAGTCAGTTCTTATATTCAAGACGATCTTAAACTCAGTCTTAAGGTCTCACAAACCAATCAGAAGGCCGTATTAACGACTTAAGACATTACTTATTGCCTGGTTTATGTTTCGGTCTTAAGGACTTAATCCTAAAATTTAGCCAATAGAGTTCAAATTTCGATTAGAACTGGCAGCTTTATTGGTTGAATTTTAGGATCTTGGGATTAAGACCTGAAGCATAAATCAGGCATAAGACGGTCTTGAAATAAGAATCGACTATGAATACCGGCCTCTGATTGGTTCGTAACTCCGCAAGACTGAACTTAAGACGGTCTTGAATATAAAAACTAACTATGAATACCGGCCATAGTCCGTTCTTATTTTAATGCCTGGTTTATGCTTCAAGTTTTAATCCCAAGATCCTAAAATTCAACCAATAAACCATCTTAAGTAATATCTTAGGGCCTCTTTCACCAACGCCGATTAAATTAATCGACGATTAGTCCATTGGAATTGACCAATCGCGTCTGTCGTCAAAACTAAATGATAAATGCGATTGGTCGATTCCAATGAACTAATCGTCGATTAAGTTAATCGGCGTTGGTGAAAGAGGCCCTAAGGCTGAATTCGGGGAGACGCTATTAACGCTATTTGTTTCATTTTATCTTAATCATCCATTAGACGCGAGACAAGAACAGTACTACACAAATGGCGCTAATAGCGCGCTGTCCGAACGCAACCTAAACGCGTCCAATAGCTGTGTTCAGCAGAAGAAACAGCTTTGTATAGCTGTAAAATTCTTTAATATAATTGGTTTATATATTTAGATTCTAGAAAGAAATAATGGCAAGACCAATCACATTAAAGAATTATATACAGTTGCAAAGCTGCTTCTTTTGCTGAATGCAACCAATTATTATCAAAATAAAATAGATAAAAACTAAAATTATATGATTGAAAGAATTAATTTTCAATTGGCAATCTTCAATTTTTATCGCGTAATTTGTATAATAGTTATATATTTTACGTATGTGTGTGTTTAATTATATTTAAGTTATTCACGCACACAGCAATAACTATAAAATCCTTTTAATTATACTTTAATTTCCACCAATAAAGATTAACTTTAATCTTGGCTTAACTTAGGCCGGAATCAGACTACGCATTGAAAATTGAGATTGAAGATTGAAAAATTGAATTTTGTTTAATCAAAATAATAGGAGCTAAAATTTCTTTACCCTCATTGGTCAAATTTCAATTTTCAATGCGTAGTCTGATTCCAGCCTTAGGCCCGTATTCAGAACGCACTTGTATCGATAAAAGCGCGCTTTTATCTCTGAAATTACTGTTTATTTTTTTCTAAATTTTAAAACTAGAAAAAGACAAAGAGCAAATTGAACCGAGATTAAAGTTAATCTGCATTGGTGGAAATGGGCAAAATGGGTTTGTACTCAAAATATAAATGGTTTATTTAAGTCGGTTAATTGTATAGTGTGAGAGTAAAAATTAATTTTAAAATGATCTCTGAAATTATCAGTTAAATCTTTCTAATTATATTTTAAAATTAATTTTGGAGTCGTTCTAAATTTTTTTCTGGGCTATATTTTCACGAATATAACACTGGCAGCTACGCTCAGTGTATGTATGTATACATAACATACATACGCAGTCGCCATTTAATTTTGAATGCATCCATCTGTGAATGACGTAAAGTTCTGTGCAGGTGAAGTCCATCAAATCCATAAAATTTCTTCGCAGTCTGTATAGAAAGCGTTATATCCTCTGAAATGAGCAAGCCAATGAATCGATTGATCAGTAAATAGCCAATTGCATATTTTATGTCTAATAAAATGTCGATACGTTTCTGTTTCTTTCGTGAATGATCGCAAGTGAGATACAGATGATTCTGTTTATTACATAACGATTTATTTGTTTCAGGCGTCGGTTTGAGGAAATGGTGCTATAATGTCACCGGATTTAATCAAATGGGTAATAAAAAGTGATATTTTACATTGTCAATTAGTTAATTAATCGCATAAAAACGGGTAAAATTCTTAACCCTAACCTAACTTTTTTTATTGATATATTTCATTGTGTAGAGATTGATATTTTTAACTTGTTTTATTGAACTAGTACAGACAAACGTTTAATACATTTGAAATGATATACCAATAAAGTATACTATAGCTGTTTTCTCATGTGTTTTCTATATTTTTTTTTATAACAAACTGATCAGCATTCCAACACTACTAGTTATATATATATGTGTGTGCACAGTTTGTGAAGAAATTTGACACTAAAGAATATGATAACAAATCTGTATTTTTTTTTTAGTAAAATTTATATCTTCGTAGTTCATCTTTCCTCCTTTTATTTTTATATTAGAGAAAGGATGAACAAGAAGTTTATCTAAATAGACCTAATATATTCGGAAGCTATATTAGTTATATAGAAATTATTTTAATATTATATACTTAGAATTAATTCTAATTTTATTTAAAAAACGTTTCTGTTCAGGTTTAATGAAGGATGATTTATATAATGATGCATTAGATCCTATAGTAAAAGAAGCAATTAGACGCCTTCCTCAAAAACTTTTAGATGAACGCAACTTCCGTATAGTAAGAGCTTTGCATTTGAGTGCTTGTCACAGGGTCTTGCCCAAAGAACAATGGACTAAGTTTGAAGAGGTCAGTTACTGATAATCATTATCGCAATTGATTCAAAATTTTCTTAGCTAAAAGAATTTTTTTTGCAGGATGTACCCTATCTTACACCATATCTCGATGAAGTTGAAAAAGAGCTTGACGAGAAAAAGAAATGGGAAGAGTTATAAAGTGTAACTTAACGTATATTACTACAGTAATGTGACACTCTCTCCATTCTTTAATGTACACTTTGTGAAGTAGAGCTGGTTTGTATATATTAAGATGAAATAGAGATTAAATAAATTAAATTAATTGGTTTGTGTGAAACAGTTATAAGTATTCAGTAATGTTGTGTATTGATCATGTTACAACATCCATTTAATTTCCCAAATGACCAATTCCAAATATTGAATAATACAATATAAACTCTCTGTGTTGAATAATAAGCCAATTCATATGTGCGAATAAATACATGTTAAGCCCATGTCACACTACATTAGAGATTGATGATTGCGAATAGAAGATTAGAATTCAACCGATTGGAACAAAACGAATTAAAATTAAAGTTTGACTGGCCAAATTCTAATATCTAATTCGCATTCCTCAATTTCCAATGTGTAATGTGACACAAGTTTTAGGAGGAAAAGACATGCTGCAGTGTTAATAGAATATTTATGATGTTATTGTTTAATTATTGTAATGCACAATATTTTTCTCTTTAATAGCACATACATTCAGACGTACTCAATGCATACTGGTGAACATTAAGGCTGTCATACAAAAATTGTTAATGAAGATAATGTTTAATATATATATGTATATAAAAACGAGGAAAAATCGCGAAGTCGTCAATAGATTTTATTCTTCTATTTGGTATAAAAAATATATTTATACTTTTAATTAGATCAGTGTACAATGTGTTTAATATATATTAGTGCATTCAATCGAATTTGCTGTGTATAAATAATTCATAACTTATTACATGAAGATATTAAATAAATTGTAGATAGATGCGAAAATAAATCTCGATGGAAGATACATGACAATTGGAAAGAAATTGTATTTCAATGTCGGTTGTTTTCGCGTTCATATATACGTTCGCAATGTGATTAATATCTCTTATGTAAGTGTATATGAATCATTTAGATGATACACATGGTAATTGAACGATAATTAAACAGTAATAATAATAATGTCGTTAGTATGTTTTATTAAGTTGATTAAGAGAAAACAGAAAAACGACATAATGAATCAAACAGATTGAAATAAAACGAGTATGTCTAAGATTTCTAATATTTACACAAATAGTTTGATACTTACATATTATTAAAGTTGATTTTCTTTAATTTCTAAGTAGACGTTTCAAAATAAAAATTAAAGGAATGTAGTTTTATCTGTTAATTAATTTTGAGCACGAAAAATACTAAAATTTTTTAAGCCGTTTAAAAGTGTTTTTCTGGGAAATCTGTTATCACATAAGTTATATTTAGAAGTAACAATAAGGGTGATTTAAGAAAGTCTTCGTTTTTTAGGAAATTTTTCAAAGTTCCTATATTTTGCTATATTTTTATTTTTTAGCATCGAATATAATGCATCAAATTCTCAGTTAAATCATTTCGAGCTTTTCTCACAATTACGAAATCGATATCTCGAAACGAGTTAATACTTTGCTCGATTTTTCCCTTAGTAACCATATGAGTGAATGCCTTGTATATCGAAAATTGAAGAAAATGAGGGAGAGACCAAATGAAAATGCTCCAACGGAATTCGACTGGACCGGATATGACATTGGAGATCATCCACTAATCGCTATTGAGTTGCATCATCCTCTGCGTAAGTGCGGCACGCGTTTCGCGGGCAAATTGTCGGATCAATATCTCACCCCCACGCGGGCTTAAGCTGAGCGGCATCGCCGAGAGGAGCGTGCGACCGCTAAAGTTTCAAGGAAGCCGTCGTGATTGCATCGTCGTCTCGTCAGACGACGGAGAGTGCTGCTGGTGATCCTGCTGGTGATTCCGCTGATCGCTGGCCCTCCTGAACGTCGAGTGTCCCTCTCGAACGCGAGCGAGTTCGTTCCTGCCGGATGAGCCCGCGTGACCAGCAACGTTTCTCCAGCAACGTGCCGAAGAACACGACGCGCGCTGGTCAGCACAAAAAATGATTCGGAGCGTGGTAAATTGAATCATCTCGACATTAAGTCGCCATGAATTTATCGAGCGCGTCCGCTCGCCTTTTCCCCCCGAGGAACATTTCGACCGGTGGAGAGTTCGATCGAGAAACTGTATGGTCGCGTTCCACCCGGTAATCAGGCCGACAGTTTCTCACGTTTTCTGTAAAAATCGAAGGGGAGAATTAATTTTCGACTTGATCATGACGTCTTTTTCTGCCTTCCCTGGTTTCTGACCGAAAATGGACTCCGGATGTGCCCATGAATGTAAGGCTTAATGAAGGCAGTATGGGGGTTGGAATTTTTGTACGTTCGATGAGTCACGGGAGATTTTTACGAGGGCAGCGTCCCTAAATTGAGAAGATATTTTACGAATTTAATGTATATTTTGAGAGCCTTAACGACGCGAGTATTCGGTTTTCACGTGATCGCATCGAAGATCGAATTGCGGTGGATGACTCAGGGGTCGCGGTGAAAGTTGCACGAGGGTTGTCAATTGGACAGCTTCGATCATTTTTGTCTGTAGTCTCGCTGTCGTGAAATGTGCTATTTCTCGAGATGATATTTCAGAAATGTTGAAACTATATAATGAAATAAATTTTGAATATAGCGTAAATTTTAAATATATGAGAAAAGTGTCGGAATATAGCGCAAGAATATAGTTTCGTCAGAACCTCGTGGCGGTGGGGGGAAAGGGAGGAAGAAATTAGTAGGAGTATAACGATCGAATACTGCTCGAGAGTGCATGCAATACTGCATAAACTGCATTCAGCCGGCACCACCAGCCGTTCGTATCTTAATTTGGATGGAAAAATGTCGCAATTCATGAAAGCCTGAGTATTGTTACAAAATCTTAGACGTTCTCAATACTTAATCGGCAAAATTTCGAATTAATTAGATAACAATTTTTTTGTAATTTTTATAAAATTCTTTTCCAGTTTTATTAAAAAATGCAAGATAATTTATTTCTTTATTCCATTTTATAGGTATGCAATTTTTTTTATCTTAATGATCTATAGGCTACGTTCCACTTAGCGCTCGCAATACTGGAATTATTTATCCTTCTTGTTTATCAAATGTTGAAACAAATGATGCTTGCAAGCGTTGTGAAGCCTGTCAGAAAATGCGGGATATATTATTCTTGTAATATTTCAAAAATTAACACATTTTTGTTTGAAAAGCTTTTTATTTTTTTTTCTTTTTCGAAAAGATATAGAGAAAAAAATGATAATGTGTGAGGCCTTAATTGTTGCTAATGCAGTACCATTTAAGTCTCCATTTTTAATTCTGTTATAATTAACACCATTTTTTGCAAAAGGTTTTTAACTTGTTCTTAGATAAGTAAGTTGTGAAACGTCACGACTGATGCAACCTTTTTGTTGATAATTAAGCTTATTACAAAGTGTGAAGTTTTTTATCTAATTTTCAATGTCAAAAACTTGATATGTTTTAAAGTTTGTAAGTAACGAGTTTATACCTTAAATTAGCGATCGGATGTTATTCTTTTATTTTGAACAAGTAAGAAAACTGGAGTAATTGCATTTTTGCTGAGACATAATTAAATGTAAATGTTTTTATATTGCCTTTTAACACAAGTGGAATTTTTAACGATAAATATTGCAGAGCATTGTTTTCTAAAAGAAAAATTAGCGCTAAAGAATTGAATATTTTTTTTATTATTAAGTTAATTAATTTAAAGTATTAAATTTTACGATTATCAAATTTTAGTTTCGAAGTATATATATTTTGAAAAATCTCTGAGAACAACAACCACCTAATATAAATTATGTATCATCTATAATGTACCTGATATCTAAAATAATCGATGAAATTATTTTGTGTGATTTGCAGATGTGGGGAATACAGCGACCGGCGTATTTCCACACAAGGAAAACGCTGATAGAGGAGCATCAAGAAGACACGAAGATCGCGCGTCACAATCTCGATCCGAGGAAAAGCACGACGATCGTTGCGAGAATAGTCAGCCAGTAACCTTCCTCGTTTCTTCGAGTATATTAGCTCGACACAGTTGTGCATCAGTCACGTATAATCACGTGTGATGAAATCATGATGTTAGATAAATCAGGTGCTGCGCCAAAACACTACCTCTGCTACATGTACAAAACTACTAAAGAATTGATCGTATTAGGGCTACAATGAAAAAAATATAGATACATTATTATATTATAAAAGAATTATATATATATATATATATTATATATACACATTCATCCAATTATATATAGAAAGGATATATTCTGATGGATAAGCGTTTACACACAGTATTGATATAAAGTTCTGTATCAGAAAAGACTCTTCCTTGCTACGAGGTCCTTAGTCGATTGACATTATTTGTTATGGAAGCGTTTAGGGAAAGAAAACGAGAGAGAATGATAATTTATGCCTGTCAATTTTTTGATGGATACGCACGTGTAGTAGGAGGATAATTGCATAGAAGCATACACACGCAACAAACACACGCATCGAAAGCTCAAGCAGAATAGATTAAGGTTTAAGTTAAAAACGAGAACGATGAGTATACCATACGATGAGAGCTTAATCTGGATAGTAGTGGTCGGCTTTATAGTGGCGTTCGTTTTGGCGTTCGGTATCGGCGCCAATGATGTCGCCAACAGCTTTGGAACGAGCGTCGGCGCCGGGGTGCTTACGATATTTCAAGCCTGTGCCCTGGCGACCGTTTTCGAGATTGCTGGTGCCGTTCTGATAGGATACAAGGCAGGTATCGAGATAATGCCGGTTATCGAATTTCCATAAATAAATCAGAATGTTATATAAGATAAATCATCCTTGTGAAAACTTTCCTTAGAATTCTTCACATAATTTTTCAGAATTTCTATACAAATATCAGAATTTTTCAAAATTTCTAATTTTATAATTTTGTAGAAAAATTTGCAGATTTTTTAGAAATACAAATTGAAACGATTCAAGAATACTGAAAAAGTCTACATCTTTTATACAATTTTTTGTCTGAATTCTGAAATATTCTAAGATTTCTCTTTATAGTTTTAAAGGGAAAATTTGAAAAAATTTAAAATATTTTTTGAAATTTTTCATGTAAATTTAAAATATGAACAATTCTTAAAAATATTATGAGATATAAGAATTTTTTTTCCAAGAGGT